ATATATATATATATATATATATATCGGGTCGATCAGGTCCCTTACGGTTCCATAGCGCATAGCATGCAACTGAATGAGACCACATGGTTCGAATCTACTTGGGATCAGCATATAATCAGCACCAGCTATGATCATATGGGCCAGATGAACATTGAATTTGGCAATTCCTCTGGCCTTCTCAGGATATTTAATCTCTAGTTGCTCAAGTTGCTTCTCCATGGACTTTTTGCCAGTTCCCTGAAAGAAAACAGGAATCAACAATTAACATTTTTGGTAGAAGCAGCAGCAGGAGCTGGCTAGCACGTGTAGAGAGAAAATAAGCATTAATTAATTCAAATAATTCGATCGATCTGATGCTTACGAGGACTATTATCTGAACATTCTCTTGGATGAATTTGGGAATTGCTGTTGATAGAATATCCAAACCTTTCTGCTCTTCAAGTCTACCAATGAAGCCTATGACAGGGATATTTCGGTCTACCGGCAGACCGACTTCTGCTTGCAATGCTTCCTTGAGAAGTGGTTTTGCATCCATAACCTGAAAATTAATGATATCTCATAACCTGAAAAAGGTAATTAAATTAAATGATAGGAGCTGGGAGATCGAGGGAGGGATCTTACAGTTGCAGCATTATATCTAATACTGATATATTTGTCTGCGGCTGGGTTCCACTCCTCAACATCCATGCCATTCACAATACCAGTAATGCCAGTCTTGCGAATGATGTTATCCAATTCCACACCTTTTGCCATGCCGGAAACAAGTTCTTGTGCATAGTATGGGCTGACAGTCAACACCTGATCTGATTCTAATATGCCGGCTTTCATCCAATTGATTTTCCTTCCTTTAACAGGCTTAAGATTGCTGCCACAAGTAAATAGAATAATAGAAATTAAGAGAGCTAGATTCCACGTACGGGTATCATAATACAAATTAAAGAGATTTCTGATAGATCTAAAACTAGCTACAACAGTATATATATATATATATATATATATAAAGAGATTTCCTACGTACCCATCCACAAAATCAAAAGAACCCCTGAACTCATCAGGGAGGTTGAGAAGTGAGAATTCTGAAAAGGGAAATCTTCCTTGGTAGGAAATGTTGTGTATGCAGAAAGCAACCTGGCATTGTACAATCAAAGCTCAAACTAGTTGTGCCCAAGCAACTAGTAATTAACTACTCCAGTACGTAGTACTGACTCTAAATGTAGTTCAAATTAAGTGCATTAATTAGTTATATTGGAGCTGTTGCGTACCTTAGCATTTGTGTATATTCCCTTAGATTTGTACATAGTTTTCAGGTAGCATGGGAGAAGAGCAGTGTGCCAATCATTACAAATGAACAAAACGTCCTCATCACCTGAAAGAAGGGGGGAATCCATCCATCGATCGAGGTATCATTCTTATTGATATATAGAAAGTTGAAGCGTTAAGTAACCTTCAAGTATCTCATCAGAGGGTATAATCCATACCATATGGTCCAGAGAAATGATTGCTGCTGCTGTTGAGATTCAGAACTCTTGGTGCTTCTAGAGCTGCCTGAATGCCATATATAAAATTTGCACAATTAAGTTATATCTCCAAGGCCAAGCATAAAAATTAAAGCAAATTATATATTCCCATGAAATTGCATCTGTTACCAATAAATGGATCTAAGAAAAGAAATTATCAAATTAGTTGGTGTGTGTACTAGGGTATGGGAGAAAGTAAGAAACAGAACAATGTGGATGCTTTATTTCGGTGATGTATAGAATTATATATAAAAAACTTAAAAGAAAAGAAATGAACAAAATTGATCATCACCACCTGGCATAATAAGCTGAACCGAATCTGGTTATCCTTGTAATCCTCTCCAGCCCTGGGACCATAAATTTTGGATCCAGTTTTCCCCCATACCTAAAGGGTTCACAAATCAGATGAAATCATTAGTTTCTCCATACGATATCAACTGCCCTGAAAACCTATGTATGTATGTATGTTTTCTGCAGTAGTACTCCAGCAGGGGGCCGGGGAAAGTTGGAAACCAAAAGCGACCTTCTCAAGGAACAGAGGGTGATCCACAAAAACGCGATCAACTCCTTGTTTGTAGCAGTGGAAGAAGCGAACAGTTTCAACTCTATCCCCAACTTTTATCTGCATGTTAAAAAAATTGATTGCCAGATCTAGCTTAATAATTTGTGTAGAAATTTGAACAAACCATCACTGTCGTCTACTAGTAGCTAGAGTAGTAATTAACTCACATCAATTAAGACACTAGTATCCCATGCGTCACTGTACTGGTCATAGCGTGGACTCACAGTCATAACACGGTGACCGTTGGCCTGGAGTTAAATTAGAAAAACACATGCAGAGATGTAAAGGCACTCCCTTACATTCCAAGTGGAAATTAAGACGATGATGAAGCAACAAGTATGGTTAATTACCGCCATAGCTGGTGGCAGTCCTCCAAGAACATCACCAAGTCCGCCTGTTTTGCTCCATGGACTTACCTCTGCTCCAACAAACACCAACTTCATCATTCCACCTGTACATCTGATGACACTGCTCTCCTTGCAGCTGGCAACATCAACTGTCGATCCCTTTGTCCTTGTTGCCTTGCTTGTGATTGCGTTAACGTTGCCCCTCATCTTTAACATATCAACTTTGTTCAAACATCTTAATCCATGGTGAGTCACGGCGAATTGGTTCCTGAACCCAATTTGTGGAAGTGGCACTAATGTTGTGGACGTCCCTCTACAATTAATGTGTGCACTTGTTGAAACAAATTGAGAAGCTCTTATGGTTGCCATTGCTGCTAATATTGTGTTGGTGTTGTTCTGCACCAGGACCTAGTACCCAGTACCCAGTAGCAGAGAAAAAGCATTAATTAAAGATATTATCATGGATATTGAAGCATGCAAATTGCACTTAAAGCACTTCATCTATAAATGACTGGGTTGAATTGAATGATTGATGTTGATGTCAAATCATATTTACTTGATAACAATATTCTAAGAAAGCACAACGAATTAAAAGAGGAGTTGCACAATACTGCTTTATTTGGTTTAATCATCACTTATTCACTTTAGATTTCAAACCCCTGCCTTTTTCCTTCGAATCAAACATAAGCTTAACATTAGGATGTGCTTGGTTTGAAGGAAAAAGTGAGGAGCAGGGAAACCTTAACAAAACTTTTTTAGGTTTTCTGCCTTTTCTTTCCTTTCCCTACCTTTTCCTTTAAAGCAAACATAACCATAAGGACCGCGGGGAATAAAATAAATGGGCAGGTCCGGGCCGAAGACTCGGAGTGGGCTACTGGCTAGGCTCGACTTGGAACTTGGAAGGGCTCGGCCCTAAGCCCAATCCAGCTGACCGGTCATATCATATGTAATGTAATCTCCTTAACACATCAAGCATACCAAGATATAAAGTCATTCACTCAGACTCCAAAAACATTTAACGTCAAAAACAGGTGTAATTACTTTCAAAACCGGTAAAATGAAAATCAAGAAACCATCAGAACCAGAACGAGAGAAGGCGTGTTTCCACATTAATTATTTCGAAAATGTACTCAAAGGTTTAAAAGGCAATTAGCACAAAAGGCCTGAGAACAGAAATGCAAGAACTCGAAACCCACAAGTTTGAGACAAGAAGAGGAAACTTACGACAGACAGAACGGTGGCGACGAATCGAAGGAGGAATTGGGAGATGGGGGTTGGAACTTGGAACGCTTTCTCTGCAATGCTCAGCGCTGTTGGTCAGTGAAGTGAAGGGGCTCGGAGATCGGGGATGAACGGAGAACGCTTTCTCCGTGAGTGTGTTGTTGGACACTTAAATACTAGCGCTCAGCGTTGGTAGTCAGTGAATAAAGACATCGAGATTCGAGAAGCAGCCAATTGTAATTGTTGCGTTGTAGCCATGCCATCTACCTGATATCTCTACGTGGTACGTGGAGGCAACAAAACATTGCGCTCGCGCTTCGCTTCCCTCCTCAACTCTCAAGTTCAAGCTTCAAACCATGTCTCCATCCCAGGACATGCATGAGAATAACCGATACGGCCAGCTGACTCTTACAACTACTGACACCGTTAGATTAGACACTTCAGCACAAGATTTTTTTTTTTTTAATCCAATGGCCAAGAAACGACAGCACGATCGAGTTTTGTTGTTTTAGTCACCTTGGTTGAAAGTAAAAAAGGGGGTTAAAAAATTGTAAGAAGTTTATTAATATGGAGTGGGGCTGGTGAGTGGTGGGGCCTGGGGGTCTCCAGACTCTCCACTCTCCAGCATCTGCCTGTGCTGTGCCGGGCCACTAGGCTTCATGCTATGGAAGTCGTATTTGCATGCGTTGCCATGTTTTGTATGTCCGAGGGGTGCGGAGCTCCACCACGTACCACGTGGTCGCTTGCATCCAAATCCAAGAGAATAATGTGCAGAAGAAGAACGAGCATCCTGATTCCTGAAAGGGTTGGTAGATTGATGTTTCCCTTGCCTTGTTGCCTCCAAAATTATTATTGAATTTTAATGAAAAACGTCGTTGGTGATCAAAATATTCCAGCTGATGTTTAATTGTTGATGTTCTGTACCAAGTACCAACCACCAACTGATTTACACAGCGGGCCCTAAATTAATGTATTTGAATGTGGAAATACAACACATATCCCTACTCTTTATTATTATTATTATAAGTTTTGGATTTATTTATTTTTGTTCATAAAGAAGGGATAAAAGGACAATGCAAATATGCAATTACGTGAGACAGTCGCAAGACAAACATAACAGTATAAATAATCCGATGCAATAAAATCTTTCGATGAAGAATTTTATGTCCATTTGATAACTGTTGAAATGTATTTCTAGACTAGGTAGAGGGATTTCGAACCTAAAAAAATGACTGAAACCCAAGGGTATTATGGATGTATCATTGTTTTTAGGAGTGATATAATTATCATAATGCCTATTTAAGGAAATTGGTCTGAGATTTATAAATTCAAAACCTTTTTCGAATTCCATTTCCACTTTCTCTTTTAACAGTAATCAAATGCCACGTCTAACAGTCAATTGGAGTCGAATTCGGGTCCGGATGTAGTAGGCTATTACATCCAGACTCGTCCAATTCAGCCTTTTTAACCATACACATGGAGGTGTGTGCAACAAATTGTGCAACGAGAGAAACTTGACAAATAACCTCTGTCACTACCGAGAAAAGGGCTTTTGACGACGTTATATTTGTGACGTTTACAAAAAACGTCACCTAAAGTCATGTATCTGTGATGTGAAGTAGCAATGTCATGAAAAACTCACTTTTCACAACAGTTCTTCTAAACCGTTGCAAAAAGATGACTTTTTTCTGACGTTATACGTATTTATAGTGACATTTACGAGAAATGTCAGTAACGGAAACCTCCCGCCATCACGGGTTTTACCGCCAAATCGCGCGAAGCATGTTCAATGACGTTTATCTATAAACGTCACAAAAATAGAGCATCACACGAAGTACTTTGCGTTCCACCTTTTAGGTGACGTTACTAAACGTCACCAAAAATGTTTTCTAATTGTGAAACAATTCGCAATTTATACTTTATGAATAATGTTGCCATTATTTCAAGTCTAAAAAAATAATTAATTAATAAGGATAAGGTTCGATGCCCTGCCTTACCTAAGTATTAATAAAGACTCGAATTCAAATTCAAATCCTAATTGACTTGGATCTTATTCAAATTTAATCCGATTCTATTATAAATTTTCTAAAATATCAAAAAATAAAAAATTATTTCCAACATTTATATATAATAAATTAATTTAAATACAACATAATAAATTTATTATATATAAATTCATATATTATACAATATATGGAATACATTTGTACACTTCTAAATATATTTATATATTAAAATAAATAAATATTATAATATAATTATATTCAGATTTTAATTGGACCAAATAGGTTCAAATCTGAATCCAATCCGCTGTAATTGCATAAATACATCATCTGAATCCGAAATAATCATATCAAATGTTAGATCGGGCTTCAAATTTTCGGACATCAAGCCTACCTAAGCCCATACTTAAAAATAATTAATTAATAAGGGTAAGGTTTGATGCCCTGCCTTACCCAAGTATAGAGTTGTAATAGAAACGGGCTTGGATCTTTTGCATCCGATCCGATTATTAAGAGACAAGATTCGAATTCGATCCGGAATTTGATTAGATTTAAAGACTCGAATTCAAATTTAAATCCTAATTGACTTGGATCTTATTCAAATTTAATCCGATTCTACTATATATTTTCTAAAATATTAAAAAAATAAAAAAGTATTTATTTTTAACATTAATATATAATAAATTAATATAAATATAACATAATAAATTTATTATATATAAATTCATATATTATATAATATATGGAATATATTTTTACACTTCTTAATATATTTATATAAAATTTATATATTAAAATAAATAAATATTATAATATAATTAAATTCAGATTTTAATCGGACTAAATTGATTTCAAATCTTAATCCAATCCACTTAATTGCATAAATACATCATCTGAATCCGAAATAATCATATCAAATGTTAGATCGGGCTACGAATTTTCGGACATCAAGCCTACCTAAGCCCATAGTTAAAAATAAATCCTACAATCCTATTAGTTCGAGACAAAAATAATTAATTTATTACTTTCTAGTATGAATAAGCTTGGATGCCCGACCCTGCCCCAGGCCACACCCACAACCTCACTCTATGTCCGAGCTTGCCCCGGCCCACACCTAAGACCGTATCCTAATTTATTTCAAAAAATTAATTAAAATAGCATTCAACCCACGCGCGCGAAGAAGGAAAAGAAAGGGAAGTTTAGAGAGTGAGGTTTACAAAGGACGTGCGGCTGCCGAGAGAACGAAGGAGAGGAGAATAAGAAAGAAAAGCAAGAGAAGAGAGGAGAGTATAGAGACGAGGTGCTGGCCGCTGAGTACAGAGAGAAGGTGTTGGCTGCTGAGTATAGAGAGAGAGAGAGGAGGTTCCGTTGTCGAGACAGAGGAGGTGCCGCTACTGAGAGAGGAGTTGCCGCTGTCGAGACAGAAGAGGTACCGCTGAGTATAGAGAGAGRGAGACGAGTTGTCGCTGCTGAGATAGAGGAGGTGCTGCTGCTGCATTCTAAGTCCAAAAAAACCTAGAAGAAAAGGAGAAATCAGAGATAAAAATACAGATAGAACAAAGAGAAGGGCGAATACAAACAGAGGAGGTGCCGTTGCATATTCAAGTAAAAAAAAATATAAAACCTAAAATCATATCGGCTGAATCAAAGTTTAGGTATGTGTTCTGTGCTATTCCTTAAACCTATCATGCATTTAATGGCGTTTCTGTGCTATTTTGTTGTATCCATTGGATTATTAATCCCTTTAATGGCGTTTCTGTGCTATTCCTTAAACCTACCATGCATTTATTTTGGATCAGTTAGCATTGAACCTTAAGATTAGATCATTTCTTGGTTGAATCACCCCCTTCATTGTAAGTGGACCAAAAAGCTAACTTCAAAACCTAAGCCTACAGAAAACTGGCATAGGCCAATCACTCGTTCTGCTACTTTCATGAAGACCAAATCCCCTGGTGCGACAGTGGATATCATTGATTCTGAGTTGGATGAATCACCCCCTTCAATGCATTGTCCTAAACACATGTTCACTCCACCATCCCAAAGCATTGCTGATTCTAACTGGTCTGAGAATATTTCTCCAGATCCTCAGGACTCACTCTCTAGACCTTCTACAATAGTTGATCAATCAGTTACGATTCCCGTAGCTCCTGTGCACAGAGCACTTTCCAAGCTTCTCCTAAGTATTCCCCTCCAAGGGATTCTGTTCTATTGGTTATGCCTACTATTGACATGGCTGCAATGTCGGATCTTTTCGATACTATTGATTATCTTATTGCATCTGAATTTGCACCAACCAGTTTGGATACTTAACCATCTTCTGTTCCTATAGCTAAGAATATTGAATTTGATTGGGCCAAGGCTTCACTTTGTCGTCTCCTTGCTATGGACTTTACTGCTGTGGCACACCCTAGTCAGATGCAGGAACTAATCAAAATTTAGAGCAATTAAAGAACAACAAAGGTTTGTTGCCAAACTAGGTGGTTGCTCTACAGAGGTTGTCTGAAATTGGCCAAATGGGTAAGAACTTTGAGAAAACAAATACTATTATCCAGTCTGCCAATGAGTTCCTGGAACGGCACCATGAAAATACCAACATTTTGAAGAACAATAAGGTTGAGTTGTGTACTCTCTCCGAGGAGGTTTCAAAGAAGCAGGCTGACATTAATCATATGTAGACTTATGTTCACCTATCATTAATACCGCAGGTTGTGCCATGCTTACATTATTAAGAATTCTGTTGGTGGCTTCCACCTAACCTTTTTCTTGAGCATAACAAGGTTTTGGGGTTAACAATCCTATACTGCTGATAAAAAAACACATTGATTTTTGCACATGGATTGTAATGGACTCTTGGCCCTATTCACCAAACAGATAAATAGTAGCAGAATTAGTAGTTGATATTGCTATTGCTTCTATTTTTATTCTTAAAATTTTCTCTTCCTAGGAGAGTTCTGTCCAATCCAGTTTTCTCAGTTGTTTCCCTTCCATTTCAGATTCTACAGCTTTTTTCCCCGCCCAATTGTTTCTTGTTTCCTCCACCCAATTTTAGCTTCAAAATGCTAAAATATACAAATGGATGATGGTAGGATACATGGAGGATGCTAAAATATACAAATGACTTATTGCTTTGTCACTCTATAAATAGTTGATTGTTCAACTTCAAAGATTATCAGTTGTATCATTATTATTTTTTCTCTAATTTTGTAATATGTTCTATAAGATATCTATCATGCAGTAGCTGCTTTTTAATTTTTTTTTCTTATGTTATATGTTAAATGTTCTGTAATCTGCCCATAAAAGGACATGCACAAATAAACTAAGACAACCTGTATGGATTATGAATCAAAACCGAAAACAAGAGTAGTGTATTGTTTAGAACTCAAACAGGTCAATGGTCTTTATGCTTTGTGAATTACACTTGTGTTTCAGAATATCCAAACTATTAACTGTTTTAACCACTTCTTTTTATGATAATTTTGCTGTCTAGTAACTATCAATCAATCCAATACAGAATTCATTTTTGTGCCTTGTTTTCAAATGAAGATGCATGCACCAGTTAAATCTAACTTTGGGTATTCTGACTGCACTAATAACCATGCCGCTTCATATTTGATTTGAAATATTAAATTTTTATTATTCTAATCAAGGATTAGGAATTAAAGAAAGAAGGAAAAGAACCACACAGACAAAGTAGACCCGTTGAACGGAAAGTGAGACATGGGATTTGCTTGGAGTGAGGGAAAACGAGAACCTAGTTAGCCAAGTATCTAAAGTTTAGAGAAATCAGAGTTGCTAACCTTGGGCTGGATTTACTTGGGAATGACCCATTGTTTCAAGGCTCTCCTGGACTAAAGCATCCTTAGGCATAATTCTAGGACTTAGCTTTGCTTGGCCTGTTTCCCTTCTTTTTATTTCAGAAATAGCTAACACAGAGATAACTGTAATTCAATTTCTTTCTCTTGTTTGGTTCGAATAAGTCCATTGGCTCCTTTATTCAATATTAAAAAATTATAGTTTTGTATCTGCTGAGCTACTTTTTTACAAGTTTCCTAAAGTTTGCTTTGACATGATTATTCTGACAGGGGCCTTAACCTATCATTCCCTAACCCCCTTTAAACTTGAGTAATGTCATTAGATGGAATGACATGCAGTTATGACAAGAAGGCCTAGGGACTGTTTTCAACTTTAGAACATGCAGTTCTGAAATGCCTTGGGTGCTTGGGTGGTTGGGAGGTTTGCATTGATGGAATGACAAGAAGAGTAAGTTTATTTGGAACCACAAAATATTTGAAGTCTTGATCTTGCCTTTTCTTCCGTTGGCCTTATAGAGCAAGTTAAGTTTCCATTTAGCAGTAGTCATCACCGTAGGCTCATATTGAATACAAATAGATAGATAGATAGATAGATAGATAGATAGATAGAGAGAGAGAGAGAGAGAGAGAGAGAGGGTGGGTGGGAAGAAGAAACGTTAAGAGGAAGAGGCACAAAGGAAAAGTGGAAAACCTACCCAGCCTGCACGACTTATGTAGTGGTAGTCGCTTGTTCTTTAGCGGCAGTTTTAATTGATTGCTGCTAAAGATCAATATTTCTAGTGGCAGTCACCAAATAATTTCATGATAGTTTCAACTTTCTTATTCATTTTTTAGTTTATGAAAAATACTTTACTCCAATTTTTTACTGCTTCTAGATGCAGAGCCATGGGTCAGCAAATATTCCAATTCAAGGTGGAAATAATTACCACCCCACTCATGAAGTAGCACAGCCAAACCCTTTAAGTTATTACAAGTTGGGTTTTATTTCTCATTTACTTGCATCTTTTAGCATGAAAATAATAAGCATTTTCTTAACTTTGTCTTTTATGTGCAGATACATGAATTAGCAACCCCTCCAATTCAAAGTGGAGATAATTCTCATCCCACTCCAGAAGTACTATCACCAAATCCGGTAAACTATCACAAGTTTGATTTATTTTTCATTTTTTCACATCTTTTAGTGTGAAAATAATTTTGTATTTCTTTGTGTTTTGTAACAGATGCAAGAACTTAGAGAAAAGCCATCTCAAGTGTCTACAAGAGAGGGGGAGAAGGGGAAAGGCAAGGGAGAGGGAAAAGGAAAGGGAAAGGCACTCTTTTGATGAGTGTTTTACTTTCTTTTTTTTGTAATATTTTTGGCAAGGGAAAAACACTTCCGATGAGTGTTCTATTTTCCTTTTTTTTGTGATCTTTTAATTTTATTTGGACTAAATTGTGAACAATTGTATATAAATATTACGTTTTATTTAATACAAGATTTCAATTTTTAATGATATTAATGATCTTTTATTTTGAATGGATATAAGATTTTTGTTGAATGGATAGGACAAACATACAGGTGGATATAAGATTTTTGTTGAAAATGAATGTATATAATTGATTTAAAAGCAAGTTACCATAAGCTCTATACTAGGTGTGACAAATATTCAGGTGGAGCTAGTTCTAGCCACCAAGATTTTTGGTGACGTTTAAACAGGATTTTGTGACGTTTCAGAAAATAGAGGGATGTGTCACCGAAACAGGTTTATGACGATTCAGAAAACGTCATTAAAATAAATATTTTTTGTGATATTTGGAAAATGTCACGAAAATAAACAAATAAATATCATCAAAATTGCACATGGGTGATTCTTGGAGTGACTCTTGAAATCGTTTAATGATGTTTGCAAAATGTCACAAAAACTATACTAAACCTTACAAAAACTTTTGCCGACACTACATTTGGTGACGAGGGAGCAAACGTCAAAGAAGAGACCAATGGGTCTTCTACAGACCTTGAATTACAACCTGCACATCTCCATCCATAATCACCATAGATCCCTCTACCATTCCCTATAGGCAAAAGACTTAAACCTCCCCTCAAGTTTACACTACTTCTCTTATTTATACTATTATGAAAAGTATGAATGAGGGTGTGAAATTTTTCTTGGCTAAAATGTCCTCATTTGTTATCTAGTCAATCTCTAATTATGAAGGTTGAAAATATAATTTCAATTAATGCTTTTCGTCTCATTTAATCTCTTCATTAACTCTTGTATTTATGGTATTAACTCTCATTCTCTCTTATTAAATCTTATATTTAAGTTATTTTTTTACTAAAAGATGCTATTAATTAGATCATTGATTGGCTAAATCAAATTGATCAACCAATGAAATCATAGTTAGATAATAAAATGGATAAATCTCTTAAACTACCCTTACTATTTAACATAATGACATGCGATACCCCTACTGTTTAGCTATTGTCTTGCGGTATCCTTAAGTTTTTTAACAATTGTTTAACACCTCTCTTGCTATTAATTTTCTGCCACACTCCTTTCTAAAATACGGTTATTTTAAAATTCACCCCACTGTTAAAACACCATCGCCAATGACAATTGCGGTGACTACAGAAAACCACCTCCCGGATGACGGAACACCACCATGTCAGGGGGCAAGGTAGGTCTTATCCGCCATGTCAGGATCGGTCTAGCCAGTATTGAATTCCTTGAAATCATTTCTTGTTGCAGCCAAGCCATGCTTGCAATAAACAGGGGTAAGGCGATTGCGGGCCGTCACTAGTTTTGAATTCCATACCACTGTTGAATTTTTTGAATTTTCACCGAGAACGATCCCCCTCTTATGTAGTTGTGGGCCGTCACTGGTATTGAATTCCATATAGTTACTCTCAATCATGGTTCAAAACATCGATACGATACGCCCAATCGTATCTTTTGAAAATGTATGTATCGGCCGTTTCTAAGTACCGATACGATACGATATACTTTGAACCATGCTCTCAATTGTAGCTTGCTGTGGAGACTGAGGTTGCAGTTTGAAACCGTTCGCTAAGTGTTGTAAGGTGCTTTCTTGGTCGAGATGGTTGCCTGCCAAAGAGACCGAGTTTTGGAGATTGAAATGAATTTGTCCTTTTTTCTACAAGAAGACAAGAGTTGACGTTTACTGCTTGTTACCGCTTCAGATTCGTTCTCTTCGGTCATTGGCGTCTCCTCCGTGCCATTCTTGTACATGTGGGTACTCTCAGGCACAACAGCTCGGTCGATCAAGAACTTCTGTAAATCATCTCTCTTCAGAAAATCCCCCCAGTCCACTCCATCTCCTCTGAAAATCCTCTTGGGGCATCACTTTCAGCTTTCCCCTGCTTCTGTGGGAAGATGGCTATTCTAAGACACTAGTTCTGGTGAGAATAATGTTCCTTACTTTGTTGGATCTCTTCCCTTCAGTGTCCTCCCAACACTTTTACACACAGAAAAAGAAGAAATCTAACTCCTCGCCATCTTCTCAACAATCGATTCATGTGAAGGTATCATTTCATCGTCGTAAAACCCAATTCATGCCACTGCGAGGTGTGTGTTTCCATTTCTTTTTCAAGGATTGGGGTTAGTGACACCAATGCTTTTTTTTTTGGACTAGCTGATTTGATTCTAACAGAATGATATTTTATTTATTTCATCAATTTGTTTTTGTCTGTTTTTTCAAATTTATCTTCTATTTTTAATGAAAAACTATTCCTGTATAATAGGTAATGTTCTTTTGAAAAACAACTTGAATTTGAGCGTCAATACGTCTTAAGTGTCTCTACAAAAATTGCTTTCTCTTGTTGCGGAGAGATTAATCGATTCTAACGTAATGTGGAGGTAAATAAGAGGCACCTCGTTCACTATTGATCTTGCAACAAACTTTATCAGTAAAAATCGTTATTAATATTGACTTCTGATGCAGAATAAGGATGCTGGGTATGTTGATTATCAGCAACAGATAATATAAGGGTAGAAGTTTTTCACGGAGAGAGAGAGAGAGAGCACGAATGTGAAAGCTGCTATTTGATTAAAAGATTGGTTTGGATCAGGCATATATCGGGACGGCTACAACTTCCAACAAAAAACCGGGGCCTCGTTGAATAGTCCGATGACAGTTGGTATGAAGTAAAGTTTGAAAAAACTTGGAAATAAGGGGTTTTTTATTAGTTGGGTTTTATTTTGAAAATTTGATAAATAATAAAGGGTAAATTTGACATTTCATTTCCTTCCGTTAGCACTTACCGATGATTATAATTATCAAAAAATTTAAGGGTACCACAAGACAATAGCTAAACAGTAGGGGTAGTTTAAGAGATTTACCTTAATAAAATTTTTAAATAGAAATAAATATAGAAAATTACAAAAATATAAAAAAAATAAATAAATTTATGATATTTTTATTAATCAAATTAAAAAAAACAAGTGTAATAAACAAGAATTATTTTTATTGGTGATGAAAATGAAATACATAATCTAAAACTAATACAAAATGAAATTATTTTCCTATTTGGTAGAGATCAATAGTTCAAGTTTTGGGTCAAATCTTTCAACATTGAATGCCATAATTAAATAATAAAAATTAATAAAATATGAAAAACAAACAAAAATAAAAAATACATAAGTTTTACAAAAAAACATTTGGGCACATGTATAATATCATATATTTAACATATTAAACAAAAAATAAGTGTAAATAATAGTATTATTTTTACACACATGGAAATACAAAAATTATGAACACATCTATAACTCCATATTTACACTAATATTAAAAATATGAATAAAATTATGAAACTTTCTTTTGACTAAAACTCCCATTTTTTGAATTGAATTCCTATTTAATTGCGAGATTTAAAATGTAGTTTGAACTATAAATTTCACCTCATTCAATTCCTCTTTTTTAAATTTTACATTTTTTTGATAAATAAACAAAAAAATATCATTACAAAAAGACGAGTCCAGCCAAATAGGTAGGCCTACCAATGATACCCAAAACTTTGTAGCCCAATATGAGGTGCTTATGTAATCAAATCTAGATTTTGTAGTATGCATCTGATTAATGGTAAAAACATAAAATATAAAAAAATAAAAAATACATGAATTTTATAGAAAAATTTTGGATACACTATTTCTATCATTATCATCATCTAAATTTGCCACGTGCAACGCATGTGCATGCTTACTAGTCTTTCCAAAATGGACTAATGCCTCCCCTGTGACACATTTGAGCTGTTAAGTTCAATGAAATAATTCAAAAGACAAATACGCCCTGACGTAACAGGTTTAATGCTACGCAATTTCTTTTTTGGATAATGTACCTTTCTTATAGATAATGAAGGATGCAAACTGCTTCCAAATTGCAATGCTTTTTAACATACAAGTTCAAGCTGGATGCATAACCCAAGCTCTTCATCCATATCGTCCATGACATGACCAACAACACTTTATACATTATCCATTATTGAATAATGGAGTTCAAGCTCTTCATCGATATCGTCCATTGCAAGGTCCTTGAAGCAAGGAGTTCAAGGAAGCCTTATCTGCTGGTTTTGATGTGAGCACAATTGGATAGTTAAGTGCTTGATTTTACTAAACTTAGCAACGGAAGGGTATTGTTACAATAAAGCATAGTGATGATGAAAATACATTTGGGAATCTTAGGCCGGTGGGTCTTTCATGGAATCACTTGTCATCGGGGGAAACCAGATTTGGTCCTAACCCAACATCGGGGGAAACCAAATAGGATATCCGAATTCGACCAATTAGATATTCAAATTATCCGGATTCAATTCGATTATGTCGAATCTCAAATTCGAAATCAGATTTTCGAATATCATTGACACCCCTAACTAATATTCAACAACTCCAACTATAAATTAAAATGAATGATTTTTAAAATTAATATTTTATGAACAATGAAATAAATAATTTATCAAATCTACATATATACCAAAAAATGATTTGAGTTTGCATGAGAAAGAGTGAAAGTGAAAATTGTAAGAGAAACAGAGTAATCAAATCGATTCAAAACCCCTCCCTGTCTGGGAGGGGTCTCCCTCTCGCATCGCCTGATGTGAGTATCCCTCTTGCATCGCTTGATGTGGGTTTTTCCTCTGTTTCGACAGGTTTTTGATGGATAGGGTGAAGTTTTTTTTTTTTGTTTTTTTGGTGTGTTCTTTTGTTGGTCGATTGTTGTCTTTTTCCACTGGTTTCTCCATGCAGGAATTGAATATGATGGCTCAGTCTTTGTTCTAAGAAGTGGTTCTTCCTCTACGATTTGTTCTTCAATGGCTTTGATTTCAAGAAGGTTGAAGATGTTGTCGTTACTAACATCGATCTGAACGGTGACGTCTATTCTAGGAAGATATATGTGATGCTTTTACTAATGACAATA